GGGGGAGAAACATTTATATTCTGTGTCATTCATTTATAAAGTTTGTCCACAGCTCCATAAGGAGGCGGGGTTTATGACCTATACTGCAGCCTGTCACCAGAGGGCGCTGTTCTCGGAGTGGCTTCACCCAGAGAGGAGGCAGACTGCGTCTATTCTATATAACGGTCTATGTGTTTCTAACCTTCACAGACTCCATGAATTGATGCCCATCTCATTTATATTTGGTCACATGATCAATTTCTTTGACCATTCCAAACAACAGAGGGTGGCTCAACTTACCCCACTCTCCGCTGTTTGATACCCTCACAAACATAAACTCTATTCTTGTGTTTTCAGACAAAGTTAGACTTGGCCTCGTGTTGGTAATGATGACGGTTTTAAAACTTCCAGAGGGTCTGAGACAAACTGCAACTACAGGAATCTTTAAACCTAAAAACTCATCGATTGAGCCTGGCTTCATGTAATAATGACTAATTATAATTTATTTTAAGTATCACTCTTTACCTTATTTTATGAATAAATTCAAGTTTATACTTTATTGTCTGTTTTAGTATTTTTTTAATAACTTTTATTAATTTTTCTTGTCCTGATGTAAAGCACTTCGAGCAGTGCGATTGATTGATTGATTGATGAAACAGTTGTTCCTGAGTTTTTCAGTGATGTTGACGGTTTTCAGAAACAGCAGCGGAGTGAGCCCTCCTCTCTCTTCTCTCCTCTCTTCTCTCTGCTTTAGGAAACGTGGCCTTAGACTCTCCGGCAGCAGCAGCAGCAGCAGCAGCAGTTCTAGTTATTACCGTCAGTCACCGTCAGTTACCGTCTGTTGTAGATGAATGAGAACCTTCCCGCCTCCTCAGCTATAGTTCCAGCTCGGTCCCCTTAAGTCCTGTTCTACAGAACCATGTCGGAGGCGGATCAGATCCCGGCCCCGGTCCCGGAGGCCCTGAACGTCTCGGACTCCAACGGAACCGAGTCGATGAACGCGACGGCGAAGTTCGTGGCCACCCCGGAGGGCACGGCGCTGGCCTACGGCAGCCTGGTGTTCATGGCGCTCCTCCCCATCTTCTTCGGAGCTCTGCGGTCCGTCAGCTGCTCCAAAGCCAAGGTAACCCCCCCAGAACCGGGTCTACCTGAGCCCGGGTTCACGGAGCGGCTGCAGGTGTTCTGTCGTAAAATGCACCCCTGACTGAAGCGCGGTCAGAGCAGCTGTTAAAGAAGAGATTTCCTCACAGTTTGGTGGATTTAAAAGGGTTTAACTTTAATATTTTCATTCAGATAAAACAAAAAACAACCATAATCTCCCTCTGACTCTGATTATTTCCTGTCCTGAGAATATTAATCTTCTCTAACTGTTCAGTTTATAAACCTCTATATGTGGATTTAAAGACTCATAAAAACAAAAAGTTTTCTGCTCCGTGTAACATGTTTTCATGATTTAATAATCGTGTTTTTGTTAATTATTAGATCATTTTCTTCCATTTTAAGAAGATAATGAGCGGACCGGAAGCAGGGGGGGGACATTCTCCGGCAGGGGTGCATTCTCCGGCGGAACACCTGCTAGCTGCTCCTGCAGCTAACGGCTAACTAACGGTTCTCCAGGTGATGATTCAGGAGTTAAAATGTCATAAACTCCCACAGAAGACAAACCCACGCGTGAAAACTCAGTTTTTTTAAGTTATAAATATGAGGCTCTCACTTCCTGTCTGTGGTTTGAACGGTACTTTCATCTTAAATTTGCACCTTTGCTAAAGTTCACCTGAGCTCCTGATCACGTGACTCAGTCTGGACGGTTCTGGGGGTTCGGTGTGGGTCTTTATGGTCTGTTTTTGGCTTCACTTTGTTCCGGTGGTGGACAGGATCCTGGTGTTTACACTCCGGGTTTGTTTACATACCTGAACCAGCTGTTTACCTGCCTCTGTGACGTCATTAGGGGGAAAGGTCAGGGGTCAAATTCAATAACAGGAAACTACAAAAAAGAAAAATCCCATAATAGTGACTTTAGAGTCAAAAAAGAGAAATTAGAGGTTAGAGAGAGAGAGTGTGTGTGTGTGTGTGTGTGTGTGTAAGAGAGTGACGTGGACAAGTGGGTTTCTGCACATGCTCAGTGGTGACAGCTGGAGTTAACGAATCAGGCTCCCACATCCTCTGCTGCTCCGTCAGGTGAAGACAGGTGGAGGACAGTCCTTCAGTGACATCATTCAGGGTCAAACCCACCGTAACCCTGAGTTAGACTCCGCCCCCTCCAGAGATGAATGTTGTCGACCGCTTCCTTCTCTAGTTATACCAACTTTAGTAACGACCGCAGGATAGTAATACAGAGAACCACGCCCTCAACCAAAACGCCACTCTATAGCCACAAATAATGCTCAGAACAGCACCTAACTTCATCAACAGGACATATAGGGTCACAGACATAGTACTAGACACCAAACATCTTTTTAACTTTGACTCATTTCTTTAGCAAAGAGACTAAACACAACTCACCTACTCTCTTCCAGCAGACGCTTGTTTGTAGAGAGACCTCAGGCCAGTCCATTACAGACTACAGCGGGGTGCCGCAGCTCAAGGAAGAACATTGAGCCAAAATGATCCAAATGAAAACTTTAATGATTCATGTGTTGAATCAGGATGAATGAATGAGTTATCTTAAATTTACAAAGATCCGCCTGAGTGAGGAACGTCTTTCTAATGTTGTCGACAAACGAAAACGAGATCGTCAGACTTTGGGAAAGACGAGCGGACGTGTGAATGAATGAATGAATTCAGGACAAAAGTTTCGAGTTTATGAAAACTTCAACTTCAGTGACGACCTTTAAAAACGTTCAGACGTCAGGATGAGAGGGTACGGTGGCCAGCAGGTGTTTTTCTGAGGTGTAGCTGAGGGTCCAGGTTTGAGTCTGCTCCTGTTTACATGTCTCCTCCCCCTCTCTCTCCCCCTCTCTCTCTCTCTCTCTCTCTCCCTCTCTCTCTCCTCCTCTCTCTCTCTTTTTCTCGCTCTTTTCCTCTCTTTAATTTGCTGAATTCACAGATGAACGTCTCTCTGATTTGTTTTGTTGGAGTGATTTAATTTTGCGCCGTGCTTCCAGTCTTCCTGCTGGCTGAATCTGATCCCTCTCTCTCTCCCTGTCTGTCTGTGCACACCTGTCTGTCTACCTGTCTGTCCATCCACTCTGTCTGTCCTTCTGTCTGTCTGTCTGTCTGTAGGAGCTCGGAGAAAATGATTTCGACTCTGGGTTCAGAGTGAGTATGAGAGCTGCTTTTTTCCCCCCAATGTACCAAAATGTGTGAAATGAAACTGAAAACAGCCTGACTGACTGTTTCCACCTGACCGCCTGGTTCATCAGCTGACTGTGCAGCTCGCCGTGACTTTAGAGGAGTTTCAGTCCCGAGGAGGAGCTGTCTGAAAACTGAAAACTTCGAGTTTGGACTCAGTCGTGTTTCTGTCCTTCTGAAGCTCTAGAGACCCAAACGTGTTGAGGTGAAAACACAAAAACTACAGAGCCGGGGAGAACAGCCTTCATGTAAAAACTTAATCATAAAAGGTTTACAGGAAGTACAGGTGTGGTCAAACAAACTCAGATCTGATTGATTCACAGACTGAGAACAAAGTTCTTCTTCAACTTTGAGGGAAACAGAAAATCTTCAATCTCAGAAACATTTTTAATCCATTCATCGATGGTCGGAGCGTCCACCTTTAACCATTTACCGAAAAACAGACGATCTTTTAAAGTGAAGTGAGAGCTTCAGGTGTGGATCAATAACTCCGACGTTTGTCCTTTTTAGGCTTTAGAGCGAGGTGAAGAAGGTCCGAGGGCGAGGTGGAGAAAGAAAACCTCCAGATTCTGTAGGTTAAATTAGAGAAGGGCTTCGTCCACAGGGGGGCGCCACAATCCATACAAACTGAAAGTTCGTAAGTTCAGGAGGATTTCAGAAAGATCTGTTTTCAACCCAGAGAAGAAGAGGTGAGAGGTGGAGAGGTGACCATCTGAAACATCGTGATCAATATGATCAGGGTTATCAATACTATCACAGTTTAGTTAAAGTCCTCCTATTCGCCCTGAAATCATAAAACAAAGTTTTATTTTGAAAAACCCTCAGAATAAACTTTTCCTTAAACCTGAAAAAACAGGAACGATAAAAACTTAAAGAAGTAAAGAGTCAGAGGTCAGAGGTCATCGACACAGAAATAACAAAGTCATGTGACAGAAACATTAATAACAAATAAATTAGATTTAAATAAAATGAAGTTTATTATTGTGAAAATTATAAAATCATAAATTTAAACAGAACGACGAGTTTTTAAAATCACATCAGATCTGAAAATAAACTGATCGTCTGTTTTCTTCGGACTTTGTTCACGACTTCAGATGAAAAAGTTAAAATCTGCAGATTTACTTCCTGGTTTTTGATCCTTGAGCAGAAACGATGTGAACGCCGGCGCTGGAGAACCTCTGACGACACGCCGGTCGCTGGGATGAACGAAAACTTCCTGACGACCGTCACGACCGTTTGTAGAAGCCGAAATTCACCCAGACTTCAGACTTTGTTTCCTTTGACGGCGGAAAAATCTCACGGTCAGCAGAACTTCCCGCCGCCATGTTTACAGGTCGTATACGGCGCACCCGTGTCCTCAGGACGGCGGCGTACGGCGGCTCTTCTCAGCTCTGAACAGTCTGTGAGCTTCTCCAGAGCGCGGCGATCAAACGCGGTTTTAACGGGAATTAAAGTTTGAAAAGGTCGTAGTAACCGTCAGACATTTTACCGCCGTTCATCATTTTACCGCCGTTCATCATTTTACCGCCGTTTATCATTTAACCGCCGTTCATCATTTTACCGCCGTTCATCATTTAACCGCCGTTCATCATTTTACCGCCGTTTATTCCCGATAATCGTTGGTTTTTAAAAGACTCAGACGGAGAAACGGATCAGGGTTCGAAGATAACTGAACCATCATGTGAATCAAGGATCCTCTGCTCCTCCCTCCTTCGTCTGTCCTCACCTCC